ATACTCATGTGGGGAGTGGGCATAGGGTAAATGAGCAGGGAATAATGTTAATATTATAAGCAGTAGCCGGGGCTCAGGCCACGCGGCATCTCGACTACTTTTGGATGGGCGCCGGGGAAGGGAATGGAAGCGCGGGCAGTGCGCTCAGGGTTTAATCACCGCTGAGGGTTTCATGTGTCATTCTCAGGGATGATGCATGCCGCTATCATAAACGCGGAGAGAAGCAGCCCACAGTGGAAACCGGTGACAGCCGGGAGGCCGCCGGAGATGATGTGATGTGACTCTACCTGGATGGGCTACTCATGGTCTCTTGCTCGAGCTGGCTTTGGCTTATACTCTGCTGGGTTGTTGCTTCTTTCCATAGTTTTGTTTCGCCCAATATTTGATCTTTCTCTCTTTTTGGCTCGAATTGACTATAAATACACGTGGAATCACGCGTTTCTCGCGCCCGCAACGCAGAATTTTCTCTGCCCTTGAGTTGTCGCTGCGCGCTCACTTTTCCTGAACCATCACCACTCACGCTGGTATCCAAATCCGGCAATTAGCCCGGTCCGCTTCGGACTCCTGCCCCTCCACACTTGTGCATCAACTTATTTCAGACAAATTCTTGGCAAGCCTTCCATCTATCCGCCGAGTAATTTCCGAGGCCTATCGCTGGACGCGATGCGCTTGAATCCAGGGAAAAACAACAAACCTTATTTCGTAGGGTAAGCTGGTGGCAAACGGCCATGAGGCCAGATTAAGGTTACATAACGCTATTAATAGCTGCAGCTACCTCGATGCCGTCCCCCGATACGCCCAGCAGGGTCAGAATGGTTCGATCTGTGCAGATCAATTTTGGTGCCCACACTGATGTCCGTGTTATGAAGCCCGTGTTACCAAGCCACGCCCTGCGGTACTCCCGCTTGACAGATAGAACCTGTTGCTGAGTCCAGCACCAGTTATTTTTGTCTGGCAGACTCCAACCTGGACAATTTTCGATTCACTTCATCCTGTTAGTATTTTACCCTTTAAACTGTAGACAAAATGTATCAGGGCCAACATATCACTTAGCTCAGTCTGTTCGCGCACGCTCGCCGTCGCTCAAAATAGCTCGCTCATGCCATGGAAACTGACATCTCTCCATTTCGAAGAAGCTCCGTCAGCATTTCGGGGCGGCGCAACAGTGACATGGGCAGTGTTCGCTAAGCGAGCTCCACGGCCCGGCTGCGCATATATAAGTCCACGGCTTTCAACCAACGCGCAACCTCTCTCTCCCTTTCCCCCCACCTGCCCTTGCCCTCGCTCTTCGCTCAAGTCGCCGTTGCGATCGCCGACGCCGACGCCGTCGCTGCTCTCCTCCCCTCCTCCCCTGCTTCGAGTCCGCTCGCCAGGTCCAGAAGTATCACGTGTGGTTGACTTTGCCGTGGGAGGGCTCTATGTTTGTCGTTGTTACTTTTCCTTCGTTGTTGACCACCACCTCCAGGGTCTGCCCGCCTCCCTCCCTCTGATCGCGCTCGTTGGTGCCGGCGTTGTTGGCATGTTTCGTCTTCATCCTTGGCCGCGCTGACCTTCGTTTTCCTATAGTGCTCATCGTTGAAGCTGGCGAGCAAGTTAGCGTCTCAAGCAAATGCATCGTACGATTCTTGCCTCTCATCTTCCCGCTGATCTTTGTCCACAGTATCGCCTCCCTCACCACAAGCTACTTCCTTCTTATCCCCCTTGTTGACCGTACTCCACATTGTCATTGCACTCGCTGGAGTTGGTGTCGTCTCCCAGTTTCCGCATTGTGCGTCTCGTTCTGCTCCTTGTTGTCTGACGTTGTTGCTAAGTTTTCATTAGCAATGTCGAGTAGTATGGCGACAGACACCATCTCGCTGCCTCTATGCCCGCTCTTCTCCCTGCCGTTGCTCGTCATCTCGCTTTCCTCGTCGTCCTCCCCCGTCACTAACCAGAATTCCAGACTTGTCGTCAAGTCTGTCATTTGGGCGGGAGCAGAGGGCGATGTTGGCTGGGAATCAGAAGTTGTTGTGGCTGTTTCGCGCGAGGTTCGTGCCGACTTGTCTCCGGTTCTTGTGGATACTAACCAAGCAGCAGAGTTATGGTCGTCCTCAGTGCAACAGTCGACGATGGCGCTTCGTTGCGAGCGGAGAGAAGGTGTCGTTGCCGCGTCTTGTTGTCGCCAAGGTGTGTTTCGCGTCGTCTTGCCATGCCGCGTTTGACAATGCTGAGTTTGTTTTAGTCCGCGCTGGACAAGCGGCACCTTGTCCTCGTTCAACCTGTTCTCCCTGTCCCTCCGCATGCTCGCCTTCGGCCACAGGCCAGCCAGCAGATCCCGTCGGCGCTTCCCCACCGGTACGCGTTCTGCTCGTTGTCGAGATCCGATCGGCGCTGACAGCCTTGTTGCTTGTAGTGTCGATTTGGCGGCTTTGGGAGCCGGAGAGGGCGGGAAACGTGCTTCGGCAGGCGTTGGAGCAGCTCGGCAAGCGGCTGGAGGGAGTAGTCAGTGTTGTAGACCGATGTAGACAGATTCGGCGCTTTACCGTTGGGCTGGCAAGCGCGGCCTGTCGCGTTGCCGTTCGCGGCCGCGCATTCGGCGCGTCTTGACGTGGGACGCGCTTGGGGCCGCGCTGGGTGGACGTGCTGTGTTGGGGGAAGCGCGCGGGGATGGGGAAGCGGGAGTGGTTCGTAAGCGACACGTGCCTTCGGGTGACGGAGCCGACAGGCCAGCGGTCGCTTACACTCCCACTCCCCAGCTTCCGTCATTGGCGCTGCGCGCCAGCTGCGCAGCCTGTCCCGGGCACTGCCGATGGGCTTGGTGAGTCTTTTGTTTGAAGTCGCGCGTACTTACCGTCTGTCAGCTTGGTGTTCCTCCCACCTCAACCTTTCACCGACAAGAAACTCCAAGATATCTTTCGCAGACCTTCAAGGTAAGTTAGCACTTGTTCTCGGCCCTTGACTTGTACTTACTAGCGGACAGCGCTCGGTTGTCAAGTTATCGCCGACTTGAATCCCCGACCCCGCTAGCGTTGTGGAGGTGCGTGTTCGTCTTCAACCACGACAGTAACTTATCCGTCTTGGGCAGCCGCTGGTTGTGCTCCACCACCACCAGCCTCGTTGTCGTTGTTGGCAACTTGTTGCCCACTGCTGGGCCATGTTTCGTGCGTTGTCTTCAGCGTCCTTGGTCGTTATGCTAATCATTGTTTCCAGATGGTGTTGATCTCGTCGATGACGAGCTCCGAGTCTTGAATCGCAATCTGGAGGAGGAGTAGGTCCACGCGATTCATCCGCGAACACGTTAACTTACTTTGCATAGGCCGTCGTCTTCTGCTCGAGACTGATGTTATTCGCAAACTTGCAAGGTAAGTTAGTACTTGTTCTTCGTCCTTGACTGGGACTTACTGTAGAACGAAAATCAGATGTACCATGCGCTCTGCTCTTTCCTCTCTGCGCGCTCACCTTCATCCGCAGGGTTCATTGACTCTTTTCTCCTCGCCCGTGTCCATTTCGCGGGAGTCGCGCAGGTACGAGGCCAAAGGCTTGTGCTGGTCAGTTCGTCAACCTTGTGCTTCATTCGCACACTTACCTCCCCACAGCTTCCGCCCCGTTGCCCAGGGCCCTCCAACAGCAGCGTCTTAACCAGACTTGCGCGTTCGACTCCTGTTCTAAGCGGGGGCTGCCGGGGCGAAGTTGTTGCCGCCGTTGCCCGCTGCTTCGCGTGGTCTTCATCGTCGGCAGGTAGGTGTTGCGCTCGCTGACGGCCGCGTTGCTGACACATTGACAGTGCCAGTTGGCAGCGGCTCGGTAAGCAGTCTGCGCCGTGTATTCTACTGGGGTGGAGCACGAGAGCAAGGATGGAGCCGGCGTGGTTCGGCAGAGCGGGGTTAGACAGAGTCAGGACGCTGGGCGCGGAGTTAGATAGATTTGGCACAGGCGGCGACTCGAAGGCAGGGCGTGCCGGTTGCAGCAGCGCCAAGTGCCGGAAGTGGCCGTGTGAGACACGGGCAAGACGGCGGGGCAAGCTGTCGCGAGCGGGAGAAGGAAGAAGTGGTTGATAAGCGGACACGTGCGCGCCCAGGCCCGATTTAGCCGGTCGTCAAATCCCACGCTGACTGTTTTTCTTCCACCCTTCTTCCCGCTCGCACTGCCCGGCGCTGACGATGCGTGGGCCCCGCCCGCGCGTATGCGGCATGTGTCTGCCAGGCTGCGGCGTCTTGGTGCGGCGGTGCGAAAGCCGAACCGGGCAAGCAAGCAAATGACTACTTGTGTTAGTTTTTTTTTTTATGGTTATACTTGAAGACTTGAAGACGATGTGTGTAGCAGAAGCGGTCGAGAGAGGCGCCGTGCCGACGGGTAGGCACCTAGGACTCGATCGAAGGCAATTTGTCGGATCCGCCCACAAGAGCAAAGGCCGTCCTTCTACCGCGGACGCATTCCCGCAATTCTGGGGCAAGTCCGCTGTTGAAATCACTGCTTGCAATGTCGAGAATGACCCAGAACGCCCTGATTCGGCCTGGACGACTCCGCATCCTCGGTTTGCCGCAGATCCATCTCTGTTTCTGCCATTTCTGACCGAGCGTTGCAGGTTTCTGGTTGGAACTCGGCCCGGCGATGCACGTGCGATGGATGTCGAGGATGGCGCAGTTGAGGGCACGATCGTGGCTGGTTATGTGTCTGTCATCCCTTCGTTCCGTTGTTGCTGACCGAAGTTTGCAGCTTTCTCGCTGGAACTCGGCCATGCAACGCGCTCGCAATGGAGGCCTGCTTGGGTATCCGCAAGACTGCTGGGGTCAGCCTCAGTATCGCGCGCGCTGAACCGCGTTCCTTACCGCCTGCTAGCTGTGTCCGCGAACGAGTTGCTAGTGTAAAGGTACAATCTTACCTTGGAGAATCTCGCGCTGACGACTACCTAGAGCCGGCCTGGGCGGCAAACGTGAAGGCGGGAGCAGCACGTTTCTTCAATCCAAATACACAGAAAAACACACAAAGAAAGATCGTCCAGTCGTCATTCATTTCAATCATCACCCATCGTACACCGGCGGCCCGCCCTCCGCACCGTCCCGCACTGTTGCGCCCTGAAACCGCACCTCATTCGCAAGCTTTCGGGCGACCTGCGGGCTTGCCCGTGCGCTCGGCGCCCTGACCGGGGCGAGCGGGAGCTGCCGCACCCCTTGGGAGGAAGACGACGCAGCGATGCCCGTGTAGGCCGAGTCCCCGTCGTCCGCCTCGTGCTCGGGCGTGAGCTCCGACGAAACCGCGGAGAAGGACGTCGCAGGCACGTGACTTGGCCGCTGCGCCCGCAGGGGTGGCGAGGACGACCCGGCGGAAATGGCGGACTGGGAGTCGTATGGCGCGTGGTAAGGGTGAGCGGGATAGGGCTGTTGGCCGGGCTGTTGTGGCTGCTGGTGGTCCACAGTGGCCTGGCTGTAATTCGCCTGCAGGGAGCTTGGGAACGGTGCGATGATGTTTTCGGGGGCGCTGCCAGGCGGGGCACCAGGTCGCGAGCCGAGACTCGATTGGTAATAAGTCATGTCCGGCCGTGGTGCGTTTCGGGAGCTGGCTTCGTCAGCGTTCTGGCGGCGGCGGTAGAGAAAGAGCGCGCTGAAAGCCAGACAAGCGAGGAGGACAATGCCCCCGATGACCCCGCCCGCGATCGCGCCGACGTTAGTGCTCGACTTAACGGTCGTGGTTGTGCCCCCGGGAAGAGTTGTCCCGCTCTGCCCGGGGCCTGACATTGTTGAACTACTTCCGCCCCCGCTTGCTCCACCACCACCAGTCCCCGGGGCAGCCGGCAACGGGGGGACAACCAGAAAGTAGTCCATCCACACTGGGTTATCGTTCATCGCGCTGACAACAAGTGTGTGCCGCCCGTCCGCGAGGTCGCCCGAGTTGTAGTACAAGTTGTTGACCTTCACGATCCCCGGTGCGAGAGAGGGCACGAAGAAGGTGGGCGGCCCGCCATCGATGGATATCGACGCATTTGTGCGGTTTCCAGCGGTGATCCCGCCGTAGTACGATATCCCGCGGCCATTAAAGGTGTACGTTAACTTTGCGCCTGCGCCAGGCGTTGCCCTGCTCGTATGCATAAAGTCCTGCTCGGAGCCAAAGTCCGTCCACGCCGGGGTATATGCGATCGTTGTGTCTCTGTCGTCGATGAAGTACGGCCCCGGCCCGTCCACGGTTGCTTGATACGTAATGTAATCAAGAAAGAGCACACAGCGCGCTGGGTCCACGGCTGTCTGTGTTATAACCAGGGAGTGGGAGCCATTGGCGATTGTGCCAGAAGAGTAGAATTGCTCGTGATGGATGACACTAGGCATATTGGTAGGCGTATATGTCGCGCTGCTCCGGTTGTCGAGCACAAAGGAGAGCGCGCCAGCGGTGGTGTTGACGGCGATGGTGCCGTAGACGGATATAGAAGTCCCTAAGCTGCCTAAGAAGACATTGGAGAAGGGAAAGACGATGCACCGACGAAAGAAAACGACGCCGTTGACCCTTGCGTCGTCGTGCAATGCGTAGTCTGCGCAAACTCAAGGTCCGCTCCGGACTTGCCCCAGCTGCCCGCATAGTGCACCGCATCGTCCGCCTCGTCCACGATCACTAGGCCGCCCGGCATCGTCGTCGTCGTCGTCGTCCGTTCGGAGAAAGGAAGGGGGACGGAAGAGCAGGAAGGAGAGAAGTTTTCGCTTGCACGGGACGGTATCACGCATCTGTCAATCACGATCGACCCAAGTGCGCCGCCGCCGCGGTTCGCCGCAGCGCGCGCTAATGCTTCATAGCTAGGCACGCAGCTGAGCGTCCTCCAATCGCGGCTGGCAAGCCCAAAAGCATACGTCGGTGCACGTCTGCGAGGATGTCACTCGGGAATTTACGACAACAAGCGTTCCCACGCCGCGTCCCATCTATCCCCACGGTCGTTGCCGCGTGCGTAGTGCTGGCCAGAATTATATTATGCTTGATTAAATATTGAATATATTCAGAATATTATGAATATATTATGCCCTTCGTGGATCACTTGAATATGATTATGTTTGAATATATTATATTATATTATGACTCTACTATATTATAGTCACAGAATATTCAACTATAGTAAGGGGGATGATTACAGCTATTTTCTCAGTCCATGTACTCAGTCATAGTACTAATCTTAGTCTGAGTTAGCCCTACTTCTGATAAATGTCACATATTATCTATTATAGACACCTATAGTGCACCCTAATACCCTCTAGTTAGAGGGATAGAGGGGGGTACTCTCTCCCTCTAACTAGAGGGGGGTTGAGCCAGTAGCGGGCACCCCCGCTAAATATGGCTACCAAGACGTGTCTTGGTAGCGAGGAAAGAAGCCCGGAGGCTGCCATCACCCTCCCGGCTGCCTCCCTGCCCCCGCCCACTGTGCGCGCTGCCCGCCGCTGCCCCCATGGCCTTGGCATCGTCGTAACGAATGTGACTTGTGTCACCGATCGTTGATTGACATTGCCGATCGCCGCCCGCTGTCGTCGGCCCTGTCGTCGGCCGTCCCCGCTGCTGTCAAATACCCCGCCGTCACTGTCAAATAGTCCGCCGTCGTCGTCCTCGACATTGTCCTCAATGGTGAGCTCAATTCTTCATCAATTCAAATGAAATAAATTGATATCTGACAAAACTTAATGATCGCAACATGATGGTGGTGTCATTGATGTCATCTACTGATCCCGCCCTCCCCCGACGCCCGCCCGACGTGCCCGACATGCCTCCCGACCCCTCTACCCCCAAAAATGAAAAAGTTGCAGAATGTTGGGAAAATGATCCCAGTACAAACCGCTACTTAATATCTTTGTTCGTTCAAGAGATATTCATAAAACTCATTAACTCAATATTGTTGGTAACTCAATCATTAATGTTGTTAACTCAATTCAACTGCACAATGGCTAGGGCTTGAATCTAAACATTGGTGGGCTTGAAACTATTACTAGTCAGCCTTTCTTCATGAGGTTTCCATCTGTAAAATGGTCCAATTAGATCTATATGACCCCATCATTGGAAAATGATCCATCCCAACTTAGAGTGTATCTTCAAATATACTCAGTGGAAATGGGTAATATGGAGCTCACCTTGAAGGTAATATCCTAGGGAAATACAATCTACAGTATCAAGCTAAGAAGTCATTGTATACCCATTGTATGTAGGATAAATTGTATGGTTTACCCAAGACATGGAACAAATGACTGATATCTTTATGATTACTAGATGGATAATCCTGATCTAACTTTATCCTTGTAGGGCATATGGATATAAGTGATTCTATGGATTTATAGCCTCACAGCCTCAGCAGACAACCCTGAATTACAGGGGCTCTAGGGTACATCCTATCATAAGCTGTAGGGCAGATATAGGGAAAGTTAGAGGGTTTTCTGGAAGGTGTGAAGATCCATAACAACTGCCCTTGAGGATCTGTCTCTACACCTCTAAGTACCAGAACTATAGATGTACTAGATTGAGTATAGATAACACTGATTACAACATTGCACAACATCTGGTATAGCTATGGCAGCAGTTGAAGCTCTGTTAAGGTTAATTTGAAGTCCCCTAACAGCCTATACCAATTTCTTAGATCATACTTGAAATTTATTTTGAGCAAGTGTTTTGGTGCGGACAGTCCCTTTCACTGCTAGTATCCCAACCCTACCTTCTGGTGTAACCACTGACATACTTGATTACAACACATATATAGAGGTAAGACTCATTCCAGATATCTAAATATACTTCTCTATCACATCTAAACCATAGAACAAACCCCCTAGGAGTGGAATCTTCCATATAGCATTGTGTGACATCAGTCACTTCTGAAGAGTACAGCCTAACCTTCCCCAAGACTGCTGTTAAAGACTAATGTAGCTATGCTGAATGATTAATGCAAGGCCCTCTACAGCCCAATGCCTTCCAATAGCTTATCTGTGACCAGATCCTTGAGTAATATGGGTATGCCACCTGTGACACCTGAAGGAGTGACATATGAGTTTCTGGAATTCACCTAACATGATAAGCTATTTTTGGATAGAAAACTGTTCCTTGAAGTTCTCTGATACTTCTAACCCATTCCCCTATAGAATCTGGTAAAGTTTGAATGCTTCAAGGCCTATATAGCAAAATTTGCTATGGACAATTTTATATAGAATATAGAGCTGTAGTAAAGATATTGAGGTCATTAGAGTACTACAAGCATGGGTCAGCACCATATATATTCAGCTCATTTGGAAATATGAAGTACTGACTGACATAGTCAGGTATCACACAAGGATACCTAATGCTTGATCATGAGCCTATCTTTAGATCACCACTGTAAGGGCAACCCTGGAGACTCCGACGAAAGCCTAGCAGGGGAGGATCCAAAGCGTGAATAAAAGCTACGGGAAATACACGGAGGGACCGACCTAGCAGGGGAGGATCCAAAGAGAAGAAACTCTAAGGGTCCGCCTGCTAGGGCGCCAACTATATACTGGTCGTCCGTAACTGCCGACGTAGAGCGCAGAAGGCCTGAGCGGCGTCGCAGGCTCTGTCCCAAGGTGATCGTTGGGAGGGTCTTGACGGATCGGTGATTGTGCGGGCGAAGGAGGCCGTGGGACGATGGTCGGGGTGGGTCGGAGCGTCCGAGGGGGTGCCGGTCGGATGCGCCTCGGATGCGTTCGGAGGGTCCGAAGGAGGCCGAAGCGGGGGTTCCCCTGACATCACCCCCCTTTGAATGCGGCGTCCCGACGCATAATACGGAAGGGCAGCGAGTCGAAGGTTGCTGAGGCGATGTGCCGTGGTTTACCCGGTATCTCCGATAGAAGTCCGCAATCTTGTCTGGCGCAAAGACACGGTCGAACCGAACCCACGAGTCGTGTGAAGCATCGTAGCCTTTCCACCTGACGAAATAGTTAAGACGCTTATACCTTATCCTGGCATCCAAGATTTCCTCGACTTCCCATTCGGGAACTCCGTCCTCTAGTTCGGGGGGCGGTTCGTCGTAGCCGGGTCGTCCATCGAAGGGGTCGTCCTGAGCGGGCTCGAGCTTAACAACGGGGAAGACGGGGTGGAGCTTGGAGTAACGCGGGGGAGGTCTAGCTTGTAGGCACCTTTGCTAACCTCTGCGAGCACCTTGAACGGTCCAAGGCGCTTGTGGGAGAACTTCTCGGAGGGCCGAGTCGTTCTAATGTCAGAGGCGTCCAACCAAACCTTATCACCAACTTGAATATTCGGAGCGTCCGAACGTTTCCGATCGTAGTACCGTTTATACTCGTCTTTGGCTTTAACGAGCGCGGCCTTTGCCTCGGAGACGCCGTTTGCTATCCGATCGAAACTCGTTCACCGACTCCAACTCTGAGCGGGCGCCTGGCTCGAAACCCATTCGGGGAGCCGACCAGTGTCAGTCATAAAGGGTACCTGTTGAGTGAAGGAGTGAACGTGGTTGTTATAGGCGAACTCAGCGGCAGGGATAAGCTCGTCCCAGTCGTCTTGTTGGTAGTTGGTGAAGATCCGGATGTACTGCTCGAGCTCTTGGTTAACGCGCTCGGTTTGTCCGTCGGTTTGCGGGTGGTAAGCCGTGGAGGTAGCCGGTTTGACGCCAATTAAGCGCCAGAGTTCGCGCGTGAAGTCAGCGATGAACTGCGAGCCACGGTCCGAAATGTACTTCTCGGGGGTTCCGTGGTGCCTCCTGTAAGGGCAACCCTGGAGACTCCGACGAAAGCCTAGCAGGGGAGGATCCAAAGGGTGAATAAAAGCTACGGGAAATACACGGAGGGACCGACCTAGCAGGGGAGGATCCAAAGAGAAGAAACTCTAAGGGTCCGCCTGCTAGGGCGCCAACTATATACTGGTCGTCCGTAACTGCCGACGTAGAGCGCAGAAGGCCTGAGCGGCGTCGCAGGCTCTGTCCCAAGGTGATCGTTGGGAGGGTCTTGACGGATCGGTGATTGTGCGGGCGAAGGAGGCCGTGGACGATGGTCGGGGTGGGTCGGAGCGTCCGAGGGGGCGCCGGTCGGATGCGCCTCGGATGCGTTCGGAGGGTCGAAGGAGGCCAAGCGGGGGTTCCCCTGACATCACCCCCCCTTTGAATGCGGCGTGCCGACGCATAATACGGAAGGGCAGCGAGTCGAAGGTTGCTGAGGCGATGTGCCGTGGTTTACCCGGGTATCTCCGATAGAAGTCCGCAATCTTGTCTGGCGCAAAGACACGGTCGAACCGAACCCACGAGTCGTGTGAAGCATCGTAGCCTTTCCACCTGACGAAATAGTTAAGACGCTTATACCTTATCCTGGCATCCAAGATTTCCTCGACTTCCCATTCGGGAACTCCGTCCTCTAGTTCGGGGGCGGTTCGTCGTAGCCAGGGGTCGTCCGTCGAAGGGGTCGTCCTGAGCGGGCTCGAGCTTAACAACGGGGAAGACGGGGTGGAGCTTGGAGTAACGGGGGGGAGGTCTAGCTTGTAGGCACCTTTGCTAACCTCTGCGAGCACCTTGAACGGTCCAAGGCGCTTGTGGGAGAACTTCTCGGAGGGCCGAGTCGTTCTAATGTCAGAGGCGTCCAACCAAACCTTATCACCAACTTGGATCTTCGGAGCGTCCGAACGTTTCCGATCGTAGTACCGTTTATACTCGTCTTTGGCTTTAACGAGTGCGGCCTTTGCCTCGGAGACGCCGTTAGCTAT